GAGCCCAGGTTTGGTGGAATTGTTGACGCTAACACTAACATCACTACCGCCAGTAGTGGGGCCCAGGTTTAACCACTAGCTCATCACATGACTGGTTTAATGCCAATTCCTACCAGGCCCTTCGTCCATGACCATGGGACTTTGCCTGTCAGTTTTGTGTGACTCCCTGTGAAAGCTCATCAGGTGTTCATAGGATACCATGGCTGCTTCGGCAGCAAGGTAACACTGTCCTGGGCCACATAGGCAGATCTGATAGGGACATCCCAGTGTCACCTGGGCATGGGTGGTTCCCACACAGGCAAGACTCTGGGCCTCCACCTGAGGCCACTTGGAACCCAAAACACATAGGAGAACTCCCTCCCACAGCTTTTGGCTTCTCAATGTGCTCCAGGGACTGAATCCGGCCAATGAATATCTTTGTGGCTCCTGTCTGCAGAGGAACAGGCCCCTTGCCCCTCACTTCACTCTTAAGACAAGATACAAGGGGCTGGAGAAATGGCTCAGTGGTTAAGAGCACTGACTGCTCTTCCAGAGGACCCAGGTTCAATTCCCAGCACCCACATGGCAGCTCACAACTGTCTGAAAATCCAGTTCCAGGGGATCTGGCACCTTCACACCAAAGCGCATAAAATAAAGATAAATAAATCATAAAAGTTAAAAAAAAAGACAGGATGCAAACCACATGAGCACATGGTCCACGGTCTCTGCCCACACATCTGGATGGTTGGGGGGGCACCTTTTTGGGGGTCTCTTGAGGGGCGAGAATCTGGAATGAAAGTTGCAAGTACACTCCTCCCACCAAGGCTCTGACCCCAGCTGCAGGGTGGGGGAGGGTGGCCCGGGTTTGGGAGGCAGCATCTGCAAAGGTTCAGGGGAGCCATAGGCCCTGGAGACAGAAGTCTATGCAACAGGTGATATGGGGTGGTGAGGTGGAGCCAAGGCCCTAGTGGGAAGCAAGGCTTTGACCCCTAAGGTGGGCGAGTGGTCTAGTGTATACCGTGGAACATGGACCATGCCTGCCTGGGAGATGGGTTGTCAGGCTGAGGCTGAGAGCTAAAGGCCGGAACACTGACTGCAGCCTTGCTATAGGGCAGCACAGCAACCCTTGTTCCAGGGCCCAGCAGACTGAAGGTGACTCTCCCAATCACTAGAGGTGTGGTTGGTTACAAAAGGTGTCAGAGAGCCAGAAAGTAGCCCCAGGCAGAGTGGCTGTCCCGGAGAGTGTCACCCATGCCTGGCTGATCCTGACCCTCTAGGCCATCAGGACACCCTGCTCACACCCAACAGGCTGACAGCAGGACCGAAGACAGGCAGCGGGAAGCGCCAGAGGTGTCTGAGTGTCACGAGGCCTCCCAGTATGTCCCTCCTGTCCCTCTGTCCCTTGTTCATTGTGCCCTTGCCCTGCAGAGCCCTGCTGATGGGAAAAACAGATCCCCTCTTGGCGGTGGGGTCTCATCCGTCTCATCAAGGCCTGTTTCTCTTCACATGCCCTTCTTCCTCCCCTCCCAGCCTCGCCAAATTCGGCGTTTAAAAATAACCCTGAAATCTCAGAGCAGCAGTCCCCAGCTGACCTGTGGAGAGGGTGGGCCGCGGCAGTACATACCGACCATGATCCTGGACCCCGTCAGCCCTCAGCCAGGGAAGTCCCACATCACTCTATGACTACTCGGAGGTTTTATTGTTGGCGGCCTAGCTACCATCTTAGGCAGCTGACTGGTTTTCAGAGTCCTGGAACACACAAGGATAAACCTCAGATGAGCCGGCGCCATGTGCTCCCTGGGAGGCCTCCAGAGGCCTCTGCGCTGTTTTGGCTGTTTTGGTATTTGGAGGTAGATTGCTCTTTGCCTCCTCTCTGATCTGAGTGACTGTGTGAGATTAGGCAGGTCACTTCACCTCTCTGAGCCTTCGTTTCCTCTTTGCTGAACTGGTCTGCGTGTCTTAGGTTAGTGTGAAAATTAGCTGAGGTGATGTGGCCATGTGCAGAACAGAGCATGCTCAGTGAAGATCCAGCCAGCATAAGGCAGCGATATG